CTCCTTATATGGACATGAAGAGACAGTCCAGGCTCCCTGGGGAGCAAGGCAGCAGGCGTAAAAGGGCCCCAGCTTCTGCCCGAACAGCGTTGACCTTTCTTTATAAAACAATATTGTCCTTGTTATTTGTCTAATCAATAGAATAAAATTTCAAGCCTTTCTGGTCCCAAATGGGGACAGAAAGTTGGCTGTCATGAGAAACAATAAAAGAAAAGCACATTTTTACAAAAAGGAGCCATGGGGCAGTACCTGTAAGAGCACACAGATGTGTGGTGAGTGGCTGCTAAGGAAGGGGAGACCCCAAAAAGCCTGGGGTCAGAGTAGAACACAAGCAGGCCATAAGTCCAACTGTGGAATAACAGCATTTCTAAAGCACAGAATAGAGTAGGGTCATGAGCTTCCTTGAGGAGCAGAGGGTGAATTCCAGAGTCTGCTGCCTTGACCCTGGCCCCTTGCACCCTTGCAGCCTCTGCCTGGAGGGAGTGTCCAGTGTCTCAGGCCACCTCCTGGCAAACTGGGGTTGATTACAGAGCCTACTGCACAGATCCCACACGTTTTTTAACGTAATAAGCAGCATTTAACCACTAGCGACTGTTACCAGGAGAGAGAGTGCAGGTAGCGAGCACGAGATATATTCTTAGCTCTCAGCAAAGTAGGTTATGGTTTAAAAATACCATTCCCTAGTAACTAAGCTAGTGTCCCTTCTGCCCATCTCCCAGCAATCTCAGCAGGCAGACTTCTTTTCTAAATACCCTACATTAAGGAATCAAGTCTGCATCTGGGGGGCAAGCCCAGTAGACAGAGGCTTGCCTGGTTCATTTACCCCTCCTCAGTAGCACACACCTCGGCCAAGCCCTGGAGGGACACATCCGTGGGCTGGGACCTGAGCCCCACCCTCGTGCAGAGCGCTGCCAGCCTGTCAGATGGTACCAGGAGCCAGGGAAAGACAGAAGCTGGGGGTCAGGTGGGAAGGTGGGGTAGAAAGCGGGCACAGGTCTGGATGGCCTCGCTGAGCAGCTGGAGGAATAAGCTGTGGTCAGGAAGAGGGGAGAGCACTAGCAAAGGCCCTGGGGCAGAACATGCTCAAGCATGGTGGTCCTCCATCCCAGGCCTCTCTCCCCTGCAACAACTGCAGATCTCAGGACAATGACCACCGCTGGGCTCTGAATGCCCAAGTTTACCTGTTATCAAGCAGGCTATTCACTAGGTGAGTATGCTGACACACCATTACATGGATGAGGCCCCGAGGGCCACACCCCAGGACAGGGTCTGCTCCCTGCCCAAGGGACACTGGATGGAGCTGCAGACACACCAAGGTCAGCACTGGAGCTCCCAAGGTGGGGGAAGCTGGAGGGGCAGAGCCCCTGCTTGCTGCTGGGCAAGTTCCTGCCCTCCCTGAGCTGCCGGTCTATGTCTGTAACATGGACGTGAGGTAGGCTTCCTGGTGAACTTGAATCAACAACATCAGATGTTCAAAGTGATATGTGCCTTAGGCACTATTACAATGGAACCCACCTTGCCCCAAGAGGAGGGGTCCAGAGACCCCTGAATTATATCCAAAACCTTCCAGGAGCTACTTTGTTGGAGGCAGATCACCCACGCTCTAAAGGAGATGATCCCCAAAATGGAAGATTCAGGAACCTGAACACAAACACCTCTTCCTGCCCGACAAACTGTGGAACATTAAAGATCTGCCAATGCTGGGGGCCAGTGAGCCCAGGAAGGGGTGCTCAGGAGACACAAGAAGCAGAGACCCTGGCCAGCAACCCACCCCAGCAACAAACCCTAAGGACCCTTCTTGGGATGGGAGAGAGCCTAGACTTCCACGTGGACAGAACCGCTACAGCGTGACGCACCCACAGCACAGGCACAACGCATGCAAGCAGCCAAAGGCCAAGTGGAGGAAAAATACAAGTTGAAGATTTTTATGAAAAAGAAAACCCCAAGACTCCTATACATTAGTTATGGTTACTTATCTCTGTGGTAAATCAACCAGTAATTCTGGAAGGAAAAATTCCAAATATATGACAGGTTGAGGAGAATGGTTCCTTGATTTCCAACTTTAGGAAGCCATAATTGACAAGTTAACATTGTGTCAGTTTAAGGCTAAGGCCAGCTTGGATACACTTGTTTATGGGGTGAAGTGGTTCCCACCTTAAGGTTAGTTAAAACAGGGCAATGCATTGTTACTTGTGTGTGTGTGTGCGGTGGTAATTTTTTAAGATCTACTTAGCAAATTTCAAGTATACAGCTCAGTGCTGGTAACTACACTCACATATGTCAGATCATCAGAACCTATTCAGAGTGACTTAGCTTTTATTTATAATGATTTATTGCTTGTAATTTAAAAAAAGAACTTAAAAGTCAAAATGACAAAAGAGTAAGAGTTCTCAAACCGTGGTAAAACAGATACAAGTATTCATTTTTTAACTCCTAGGATTTTTCTCCATTTTAAAAATCTACCCAACATCAAAAAAATTAAAACCACATTGCTGGCCAGTCCATGTTGGGCTAAGGGCTTCACTGGCCTGCTCTGTGCCTGTCCGGGGACCCCCAGCTTAAGATGGCTCTTGACCCAGGACTTGGTGGTGTCTGGGAGCCCTGCCCAGCTAGGCAAGGGAGGGCAGAGCCATGCAGGCAGCTGTGCGCCTGTGGCCGGCCCTTCCTGGGCAGCGAGCTCAGCACTTGACGGTGCCAGGGGCTGCAGCTTTAAATAAACTTGGACAAGTCCATCTGGGCCAAGAGCACCAACTGTGCCTCAGGAAGACGCTGCCAACAACAGGCCCACAGGGCCCCTCAGGCCCCAGCCCAGGCCATTCTCCCTCCTGCCCCTGCCCCGCTACAGCTTACCCCTGCACTGGCTCAGCCTGCCCTAACCAGGCCAGCCTACCACAGGCTCCCCGGCATCCCTCAGTGGGCTTGGCACCTGGGGGCCCCCCAAAGAAGCCAAAGCCCTGCTGGCCCCAAAGGGTGGGCCCAGCACACTTGGGAGCATTCCCCTCCTCTCCAGGCCCCTTTCCCCCACCACCCCAGCTAGGCTCCCTCACCCACTCATGCCAAGGACCTGGGCTCAGCTGCTCCGGCACCCAACAGCATCTTCCAGAAGCTGCTCAGGCTCCTGTTGGCGGGGGAGGAGCCTGGCCCCCCAGGGCAGTGGGAGACCTCCAAGCCTCAGCAGGTGGGTGGCAGCAGCCTGGGAACCAGTCCCTGCTGGAACCAGAGGTCTGGGCTTGGGCCGCTGGAGCTAGGGAGGTTCACAGAACTGTAAAGGAGGGTCAGCGGAGTGAGCATAGGGCAGAGGAAATGTACAGGAAAGGACCCAGAGGTGCCTGGCACAAGGGCCCATGTGCTCTCGGCAAGCAGACAAACAACAACAGGGCACCTAGACCAGGTGACCTACCTCCCACTGCTGCCCACTGCCTCGGAGAACCACCTCCCCCAGCTGAGGACCCCGGCCCAGCATCCCATCCTCACCGGCCAGGACCCAGCCAGCCTCTGGAAGCACCTTTCAGGCCTTGTTGTGGGGCCTCAGCAGTGCACACTGTGGGTGTACTGGACCCTCACTTCCCTCTGCTCAGCTCTCCAGGTGTCCCCACCACCCTTTGGGCAAGGTGCCCAACCAGCTCCCACCAGAGGAGGAGTTTCTAGGTGCAAAGGGTCTGGGCCCCCCACGTGCCCCCACAGGCTTCCCCAATGGCAGGGCTCCTAAGCCCCCAGGGCTGACCCCCTCCAAAGAGGAAGCCAGAACGGGAGATTAAGCACCCACGCTCTTCCCAGTCCAGCTGATCAATTATCAGCAGCCATCACCAACACAAGCTATCACCACAGACGTTTTTTCAGAAAATGAAAACAAGGGTCTGCCAAGAATGTAGGAGGAAACCACCTCCCTGGGCAGCGCTGAGGATGGAGGAAGATGGGCTCTGGCTGGAGCCTGGGGATTCGCGAGTTCCAGAGCCGGGCAGAGCGATGCCAGGCGCAGCTACCCAGATCCACAGAGGAAACGGCAGGCCAAGGAGGAGCTGTGGGGTCTCTGACCCGGGGGACAGAACCGGGCCTAGAGGCCCCACGCCTATCCTGTGGCGCGCAGAGCCCACGAGCCACCTGTTCCCCAGCTGAAAGGAGCCTTCAAACCCCCAAGCCCTTACCCCATCCCCGCCTCCATCGAATAACTCTCCGAAATCCGCCTGCCTCGAGGGCACTGAGAACAGGGGCCGTTCAAGCTTTCCACCTCGCCCGCTTATCCCCTCCAGCCTAGTAACCTGGTCCAACCTCCCTGACCTCGACCCCTAACTCTTCGGGTTCCTCTTTCCAGAGGATCTAGGGAAACCTGGGGGACCCACGGCAGAGACTGTTCCCACGCGGCCCAAAGAGCAGCAGGCAGCCCCCACCACACCCGCGCGGAAGGAGCCACGCGGAGGAGCAGGCGCGGAACAGGTCCCGCCGCCCCCGCGCCCGTCTCTCGGGTGGGGGTGCTGACAGCGCGGCAGCGGCTGGATCCCACGCGGCCCAAAGAGCAGCAGGCAGCCCCCACCACACCCGCGCGGAAGGAGCCACGCGGAGGAGCAGGCGCGGAACAGGTCCCGCCGCCCCCGCGCCCGTCTCTCGGGTGGGGGTGCTGACAGCGCGGCAGCGGCTGGACGACCCCCTGGCCAGGGCCGCCCCATCTCCCGCGCTCTAGGCCCCGCGGCCGCCCCCGCGCGCCGCTACTGCCTGACCTCCCGCCGCCAAATGCGTCACGTCTGCCCAGCGCCCCGGGCACCTGCTGCCGCCCCCTCCGTGCCTAGCCCTATGCCCCGAGGCCTCCTGCGGGCAGGGCTGGGCGCGTCCGAGACCAGCGGCCGGGCCCGGGACCTGCGGTCAGGGCCACGCGGGGCCGTTCGCTCCAGGCCCCAAGGCGGGAAGAGCGGGGGCGCGCGGGGCCGCAGTGCGCCCGGAGCCCGCGGCGCGGAGGGTCCTAGTCTCCGGGCCCCCGCCCGGCCAGCACTTGCCGCGGCCCTTACTTGCCAATATCCTCGTAGAGCTGGTACTCGTCGGTGAAGCGGGTGCAGGTCACCGTGGTGGCCATGGCGGCGACGGACCGGGTCGGCGTGCGCTCTGCTTCGCTCGGCGGCGGCGACTCCGGCTCCCGCTCGCGGGCACGGCGGCGACTCCGGCGCGGGCGCGGGCGACACCTTGGCTCGCAGCGCCGGGCGGGGGCCGGGCTGGGCTGCGCCGGGCGGCGAGCGCACGCGAGATCCGCGCGCTCGGTCCTCTCCAGGAGCGCGCCGCACACCTACGCGCGGGGAGCGCGGGCGCCGCTGTCACTGCCGCCCCGCCGGTCTGCGGTCCGACGCCCTCTGCACGCGCCCCGCGCCCGCGCCCGCACCCACATCTACTTCCTGCACATGCACACGCGCCCCGCACACGCACATGCGCCCCGCACGCGCTCCCCACCCCCGCTGCGCCCGTACACCGCCGGCACCCATGCACCGACCGCCTAATCCGGCTTCTCCACTTCCTGCTGGCGACCCGCCGGCACATACGGGCGACTACACACAATGAACCCGACCACCTCTCTCCGTGATGACCCCCCTCGTCTTGGGCACCGCTCTCCACCGGACTCATTTCTTACACACCCCCACATCCCGGGAGGAGATTCTGCTGGACCCATCCTGCTGTTTCCACCTCTGCACATCTACACAGTACAGTCCCCTGGCAGAGCTGCACAGGAGTCACTCAAAGAAGCATGCACACTGCGGGACTCACTGGGGGTGGGCTCCAGGCTCAGGCATGGGCTCAGTGCCCCCCGGAATGGATGCTGGGGTGTTTAGAACAGGAGTCCCAGGATTCTGCGTTTGGACTTCAGGCCCACAGCCAGGGAGAGAAAGGCTTCCCTCACAGACTCCGCCCAGGTAGGGGACACAGTCTTCTCTCCCGCAGGCCTCCACCACCTGCCTGCCTCCTGCTCTGGCCTGGGAAAAGAGGGTCCATCTTTAAAGTGACCCTGGAGCCGAGGAGGAGAGAGGAAGGAGGGGTCAGGAGAGTCTGGGCAGACCCCATATCCCACCAAAGAGCCTTCTCCCAAGGTCCTACCCAGGCTCCTTCTGGAACAAGACTTCAGACCCAGTGAGGATCCCTCAGTGGCCTCCTGCCACCTCCCCACTTCTCTGAAGGGCCAGGGTACCTCTGGGCAGAGCCTGAGGAAGGAAGTTTCAGAAGCCAGCTCTGGATTTGGGCTGAGAAGCTGCCCTAACACGAGCCATTCAGTGCACAGTGGGTTCTCCAGGTACAGTCTGGGCCTGTCCTGCTCATGTCCCTCACCTTGGTGGCCACCCTGGCCCCAGAAGTCACAGTAAATGTTTCCTGGATAAAGGATCATATGAAGGGATTCTGGGGTGGGGGCAGCCAGGGCCTCCCCTACCAGGATGACTTTGGTACACAGCTGTCAGGCAGATTAGACCAGGTGGTGATCAGTCCACAGCCAGAGTGGTTTTGCAAACCCAACTTGCACTGGGAACACTTTGGGTAAAGGCAAGTCCCCAGCGGGACATACATGAATCCCAGACTTCCCTTTGGGTTACAAACAGGGGCTTTTAAGGCAAAATTATGTGTGAGGGCTGCAGGGCATGTGAGCAGCGTGTGCACGCTCTTCCGACTAGCCAGTGCTGAGGTGACGGGGGATGGTTTCAGGACTTAGTCCGGTCTTTGGCTCCAACCATCTGCCTCTGCGATGTGAACTGTGGGTAGCCTGCCTCATAGGTCTGAGTTCCTGCGAAAACATCTCAAGAGTACACTATTGAACATCTGCCTGCACTTTTGAGAGGGAACCCAGGTGCTGTGCAATGTGTGCACTGAGTCCCCTTAGCCCACCTTTCCTGAACCTCCCCTGCTCAGGTTCACTGGTCCTACTACTAAGCACTGGGGCCTCTCTGTGAGCTTCTCCAAAGGGAGCCACTTGTTCCATTTCATGGGAGACTTCCCAGGATCAAGGCTCCATAAGAAGTTGGGGTCACCAAAGGGTGAGATTTGAGAACCAGTGGTCCCCTGGGCAGCCCCCCTCTGGGCTGAAGCATTGAAGGCACTAAGCAGAGCAACCCCAAGGAGGGTGGGAGGGCAGGGTGACAAGGATGCCACACTGTGGACTGGGTGAGCTACCAAAGGGACCGATACACTGCCTGCTACACAGCTCACCCAAAACCCTCCTCACAGGACCTACTTCCCACCTTCAGCCCAGAGGGTTCCTCCCCACACAGTGGAAAGATGAAAGGGAGAAGGGCTGCCAGTGTAGCTCTGGAGTCCCAGCCCCAGAAGCCCTTTCCTCTGGTTTTGGCAGCCCCGCCCCTCTTCCAGGAAGGGCCCTCCCCTGTCCACGCCCCCACGTCACCCCCACCTCTACCACCCCTTATCCTCTCTAGCTGGCTCTCATCAGCCTGGAGGGCTCTCCCTCCCAGGTGGCAGCTGGGCGGGTGTGGGAAATATCATTCTGGGAGGCTATTGTTAGGACAGTTACCATGGCAATAAGCATCACACCTGCAGAGCCCAGAGTTCTGCACATGGGGCTCATTCTCCCAGGGAAAGCCATGGCCTGCCCTGTCCCCACTTCCAGAGGTGCTGTCATGGGAGAAATGTCACTTCCACTCACCCAGGCCCAGCCATCTGCCTGGAAGAGCAGGCTGAGGTTCCCCAGAGCAGGAGGACCCCAGTCCATGAATCAGCAATCATCTGGCTCTTGACATGGCAGCCCATGCAGGACACTGTACCAAACATATGGGGAAATGACAGTAATAGTGGTGATGTTGGGGGGTGGTGATGGTGGTGGTAGTGGTGGTGGCGGTGGTGATGGTGTTGGTGTTGGTGATGGCGGTGGCGGTGGCAGTGGTGATGGTGGTGGAGGTGGTGGCTATGGTGGTGGTGGTGGCAGTGATGGTTGTGGCAATGGTGGTACTGGTGATGGCGGCGGTGGTGGTGATGGTGGTGGTGGTGGTGGAGGTGGTGATGGTGATGATTAAGGCCATAGCTATCATTTACAGTATATCAGTACATATTAGAAACTCTTCTAAAAGTCAAGCACCCACTACTTCAAATAAACCTTTCAGCATCTTGCAAGATAGGGGTGATTGTTAGCCTCCCTTTATAATGAGAAAACAGGACTCTGTAACTGGGCTCAGGTCACTCAGCTAGTCTGTGGCAAAACCAATATTGGCATCCATGTCTGCCTGACTTTATAGCTGGTGCCTTTCACCACTTCACACTGCTCAAGTGTGACTACTGATCTTGTTCGTGCAGTACACTGTGCCAGCTTTATGCAAAGTTCTGCCCAGGACCCAGGCCACACGAAGAGTGAGGTGGACAAGGTTGCTGCCTTCCCCAGGCTCATGCCAAGAACAACAAGAAACAACCAAGAAGACATTTAGTAGTGATATTTGCTCTACATAGATTTAAAAACAAAGTGATTTGCTAGAGAGAGTCAGAGTGGCAACTTCAGCGTGGGTGCCCAGGGAAGGCCTCTCTGAGGAAGGGACACTTAAGCTGAGATCTGACTGACAGAGTGGGGCTAGCCTTGAGGGGATGAGGGAAAGAGCATTGTGGGTGGAAATAGCAGCTGTGTGTGCAAAGGCCCTATGGCTGAAATGAAGGCAGACAAGGTCCGCAAGACTCCGCACTCTGTTGTTTGTTCATCTGCTTGACAGCTGAGAATTCTCAGGGAGTCTGAGTCACCCGGAGGAGACAAGCTAAGTAATAAAGACAACCAGTAAGCCCCTGGACATGGGCGCATCTCAGGCCTGTGCAGGAGCTCAGCCCAGGATGTGAGGCACAACCCCCCCAGCCTTCTTTCTCACTAGGCAGCCAAGCACGAGGTGGGAAGAACTGTCTGGGCAGAGGATGTTACTCCCAGTCGGCTCTGTGGGGACCCCTGCTGAGGGTCGGGCTAAGCCCTGCTCCCAGTACCTTTCCCAAGCCTCTGGCTGTCTGGGGCCCCCTCCCCAGCCCTCAGGTGGTGGCCTCTTCTGTCCAGCTCCACCATATCTCTCTTGGTTGTCAGCCCTCCTGGAGATGCCTCAGACCCTGCATCCCAGAAAGCCAGGTGTTGTCCCAAGCAGCTTGACCAGGTGTCTCCATTAATCATCTGCTCAGGTTAACGGAGCAGCCGACAGAACACTGGTGTCCTAAATGTCCAGGAGGGGCCAGTGCTCCCCGCTGGTACTTCCCTCACGTGAATACCTGTTGTCATGGAAACTGCCTTCCAGCATGATCCTACACTCAAGCCCCTTCTGTGCCCACCCTCCCTCCTGAAACACAGGGGACATGCTGAAGTGTGGGACTGGCTGTAGGCCTGGGGTTCCCAAGACAGACACAGTGCACATGAGCCAGGGACTTACACAAAACAGAGACTGGTTCTCTTCTCCCCAGACACCCAGAGGTAGCACCCCTGGTGCTCATGGCTGCTCAGCTCCCCAGGACCCAGGCTGTCTCCAGTTCTGCTATGGGTGGCTGACCCTTGTCCCAGTGCTTCAACACAGAGACCCAGCCACCACATCCACATTCCTAGTAGCTGTACTAGTAGCAAAATAGATGATGGGCAGTGGGCAGTGGGCAGCTTTTTGCCACATGACCCTCCCCAATTACCCATCGGCCACAATCTAATCATGTGACTGCACAGAGCTGGCGAGTCACATGCAAGGCCAAGCATCAGAGGCCACCCCCATCCCAAATTCACATCTCACCTCTTCTTCAGTGGGACACCCACAGTTCAGCTCTGTGGGTGTCAGTCTCAGGGGTCCCCTGTCTATATAGCCCCGGGCTGCTGACACAGCAGGGCTGTGAGCCTCCAGTTCTGCCCTCGGTCAGGAGACTCTGCACTGTGATGGATGCCAGGCTTTACTGCCGAGCAGGTGGGAACACTGAGGGAGAAAATGCTTAAATATAGCACAGCCACTTTGGAGAACTGTTTGCCATTTCTTACAAAGCTAAACAAATACCTTCCATACAACTGCTAATTCCTCTCTCAGATAGTCACACGCAGCCCCCCGAAAAGAAACACAAGCACAAGAATGTTCATAATAGTGGAAACTGGAGCAGCATCAAGCCCACATGCAGAAGTGCAGGTATGCAAATTGCTGTGTGTAAATGAAAAAGAGTGACGGCCCACACTCACGACGACAGGCAGAGCTTCTCAGGGCCACAACGCAGCAAAA